ATCCGGGGAACGCCAATGTGGTGGCCGATGCCCTGAGTAGGAAGTCAGCCAGCATGTGCAGTTTAGCTTATATTCCGGTCGGTGAGAGGCCGCTTGCTTTGGATGTTCAGGCTTTGGCCAATTAGCTCGTGAGGTTGGATATTTCTGAGCCCAGCCGTGTGTTAGCTTGCACAGTCGCTCCTTCTTCATTATTGGAGTGTATCCGAGATCGGCAGTTTGATGATCCTCATTTGTGTGTCCTTAGAGACATGGTGCAGCACGGAGGTGCCAAGCAGGTTACCATAGGTGATGATGGAGTTTTGAGATTGCAAGGCTGAGTCTGTGTGCCCAATGTGAATGGTCTTCGAGAGTTGATTTTAGAGGAGGCCCATAGCTCCCGGTACTCTATTCACCCGGGCTCCGCGAAGATGTATCAGGATTTACGGCAGCATTATTGGTGGCGGAGAATGAAGAAGGATATCGTTGCATATGTGGCTCAGTGTTTGAATTGTCAGTAGGTCAAGTACGAGCATCAGAGGCCCCGTGGTTCATTTCAGAGGATTGAGATTCCCGAGTGAAAGTGGGAGTGGATCACTATGGACTTTGTTACTGGACTCCCGCAGACTCAGAAGAAGTTCGACGCAGTATGGGTCATTGTTGATAGGCTGACCAAGTCAGCACATTTCATTCCTGTGGCGGTCTCCTATTCTTCTGAGAGGTTAGCTGAGATCTACATCCGGGAGATTGTTCGCCTTCATGGTGTGCCCGCATCTATCATTTCGGATCGAGGTACGTAGTTTACCTCGCGTTTCTGGAGACCAGTTCAGCGAGAGTTGGGCACACGGGTTGAGTTGAGCACAGAATTTCATCCCCAGATGGACGGGCAGTCCGAGCGGACTATTCAGATTTTGGAGGATATGCTCCGAGCTTGTGTCATTGACTTTGGAGGCTCGTGGGATCAGTTTTTTCCTTTAGCGGAGTTTGCCTACAATAACAGCTATCAGTCGAGCATCTAGATGGCTCCTTATGAGGCCTTATATGGTAGGCGGTGTCGGTCTTCAGTTGGATTGTTTGAGCCCGGAGAGGCTCGGTTGTTGGGTACGGATCTGGTTCAGGATGCCTTGGACAAGGTCAGGATTATTCAGGATAGGCTTCGTTCAGCTCAGTCCAGGCAAAAGAGTTATGCCGACCGCAAGGTTCGAGATTTGGGTTTCATGGTCGGTGAACGGGTATTGCTTCGAGTGTCGCCTATGAAGGGCGTGATGAGATTTGGGAGGAAGGGCAAGCTTAGCCCTAGTTTCATTGGCCCGTTTGAGGTTCTTGATCGAGTGGGAGAGGTGGCTTATAGACTTGCATTGCCGCTAAGCTTATCAGCCGTGCATCCAGTGTTTCATGTGTCCATGCTTCGGAGGTATCATGGCGATCCCTCCCACGTGTTAGATTTCAGCACTGTCCAGTTGGACAAGGACTTGTCTTATGAGGAGGAGCCGGTAGCTATTCTAGACCGGTAGGTTCGTCAGTTGAGATCGAAGAGTTTTCCTTCTATTCGTGTTCAGCCTCCTGAGACATCGACCTGGGAGTCCGAGTCTGATATGCGGAGCCATTATCCCCATCTTTTTCCCGACTCAGGTACTTCCTTCTTATGTCCTTTCGAGGACGAACGGTTGTTTTAGAGGTGGAGAATGTGATGACCTTTTACACTTTCTTTTAAACTAAAATCTGTGTTCTGAGGCCTTAAAAACCTCTTTTACCTTCACCTCGATTTGCGTGCGCAGTCCGGGCGTATAGCCGGAAAGCTGTTATGTGAAAAATCTGTGAAATATTAAAATTTTGGCTTAAAATGCATCTAAGTTGACTTCGGTCAACATTATTGGTAAACGGACCCGGACCCGTGATTTGATGGTCCCGGAGGGTCCGTAGGAAAATATGGGACTTGGGCGTAAGCCCGGAATCCAATTCCGAGGTCCCAAGCTCGAGAAATGAATTTTTGAAGAAAATTATTTTCTGAAATTGTTTAAAGGATTTTGAAATGAAACTTGATTAGAACATGATGGTATCGGGCCCGTATTTCGGTTCCGGCGCCCGGTACAGGTCTTATATATGATTTAAGATGATTCTGTGAAATTTGGTGAGAAACAGATGTCATTTGACGTGATTCGGACCTAAATTGCTAAAATTGAGGTTTTAAGAAATTTGAAGGAATTCATTGATTTTGAGGTTTAATTCGTTGTTTGAGAGGTTATTTTGGCGATTTGATCGCACGGATAAGTTCATATGATGTTTTTGGGTTAGTACGCATGTTTGGTTTGGAGCCCCGAGGGCTCGGGTGAGTTTCGGGTAGGTTCCGGGGCGTTTAAACTTAGGAAAAATGCTGCTGTTGCACCAGTTCTGGTGTAACCGCACCTGCGGTTCTTGGGACGCAGATGCGACTCGCAGGTGCGAGAAGTGCATCCCAGGTGCGGAAACCTTCGCAGATGCGGGCAAAATTCCGCAGAAGCGGTTCCGCAGGAGCGGTCTTCTCCTTCGCAGGTGCGGCCCGAGCGGGGCCTAGCAATTTCCGCAGAAGCGACCATTTTTTCGCACGTGCGGTTGCGTAGATGCGACCCACGAGCCGGAGATGCGGAAGTCGGGCAGTGAGTCTTTTTAAAAACATAACTTCATCGATTTTCTTTCAAACTTTCACAAAAAAATAGAAGAACTAGGGCGATTTTCTTCCCAAATCACAAGTAAGTATTCATTAACTAATTTCTTTCAATTATCTAATGTTTATCATCAACTTTTATCAATAAATTCTAGGGTTTTAATGGTAGAAAATTGGGGAATTGGGTAGAGTTAGGGCTTTTTGATTATTTGGGAATTTGACCTCGTTTTGGGGTCGGATTTCAAAACAAATTATATATTCGGGCTCGTGGGTGAATGGGTGATCGGGTTTTGGTCCGAACCTCGTGTTTTGACCAAGCGGGCCCGGGGTCAATTTTTGGGTTTTTGGGAAGAATGATTAAAAAGCTATAATTAAGCATTGGAATTGGATTGTTTAGCATTTATTGATGTTATTAAGTCGATTATGTATAGATACGATTGTGTTGGAGCCAAATTCGAAAGGAAATGCGGTGTTTGAGGATTGAGTTGGCCGTGGAAGTTCGAGGTAAGTGTCCGGTCTAACCTTAGCTTGAGGGATTAGGAGTTGTGTCCTATTTGCTAATTGCTTCTTGTTGAGTAAGACGTATAGGCATGGTGACGAGTATCTATACGTTGGTGTCGAGCATGACCGTGAGTCTTGTATTGATAGATGTTGTGTTCTTAAATGTTACTACGGATGCTTTAATTGATGATTCTCGATATTGAGCAAAGATTTAGTTTATTTTCGTGGATTTTATTTATGATTGAGTGTTGGTACTAATTGAGCTGAGTAGGAGTTGAGTTAGGATTGGTTATAGCTGATTCTCCCTTACCGGGATGTTTGTCTTGATATTGTTGCTCCCTTGCCGGGAAGTTATTATATTGCTTTTGTTCCCTTGCCGGGATTCCTTGTGATTATGTGTCGACTTGTAAATGGGAGCGGGTGGTACGCTACCACGAGATGTAACGAAATGGGAGTGGGTGGTACGCCTACCACGAGATATAATGAAATGGGAGCGAGTGGTACGCCTACCACGAGATATAATGAAATGGGATCGGGTGGTACGCCTACCACGAGATATAATGAAATGAGATCGGGTGGTACGCCTACCACGAGATATAATGAAATGGGATCGAGTGGTACGCCTACCACAAGATATGAGGAATGGGATCGGGTTGCACGCCTGCAACGAGATGTGGACCGAGATTGAAATTTGCCTTTGTTTTCCTTATTCTTGTTAGAAGTTAAATTTTGGTTTCCTGATAATTCTCTTGAGATTCTGTTCATCTGTTATTCCCCGAAGCATGTTTCCCCCTTCCCAGCTTTAATTGTTTGTTCTAGTTTATTTTTCCGCTATATATATATATATATCTGCACAGGTTTATCTGGAGTCTGGTCCTAGCCTCGTCACTACCTCGCCGGGGTTAGGCCAGGCACTTACCAGCACATGGGGTCGGTTGTGCTGATGCTACACTCTGGCACTCTATGCAGATACCGAGCAGTACTGGGACAGCAGCAGTAGCTTGGGAGCCAGCCTTCAGTCCAGAGATCCCGAGGTAGTCTTGCAGGCGTCCGCAGGCCCGACGTCTCTTCTATCTACTATTATGTTCTGTTATCATTTGTATCCGAGACAGACTGAGTTTCTTTCTTTCAGACATTTGTATGTAGTAATCATAGACAGTCCGTGAATGTTGTGACACCGGTTGGTGGGAAGAGACATATGTTGGCTTTTCGTATCGTTTTTGGTATTATGTTTATCTAAGTCTTCCGCTTAAATCCATCTTTCGCTATTATTTAAATGTTGATCACTTGTTATTACAAGTTATTAAAAAGCTTTAAAAATGAAAGAGTTAGAATTTCTGTATTTCGTGGCTTGCCTAGCTCTACGAGTAGGCGCCATCACGACTCCCGAGGGTGGAAAATCCTAGTCGTGACATGATCATTGAATCATGTACTTTATTCTTTGATATATATTTATTAAAAGTTTTATTTTAATAATATTGATAGTAGTTTACAAACTCGTGCATTATATGATTCGGCATACACGTGCACATGTTGAGAAACTAGTTTATAAAGGTGATATTCAAGTCAGTTTGTAAAACCTTCAATAAATGCTCGTTATCTCCCACTAAATTTCTTGACCAGTTCGCCATAATGCTGCACGTCAACGGTAAAATATGAACAATCAGAAAATGAGAAATGAAAGCTGAAGCAACCTCCAAAGTAAAGTAAAAATTTCTTTAAGTAAATTAGTCCATGGAATTTCTGTCAGCATCCGAATAGGCTCTCTCACGTCCAAACAAAACGTGGAGTAGGCTGTAGGGGCTGAGTTGTCATTTTAAACAACCTACCCTCCCTCTTTTTAAAAGTAGTGTAACTTCATTTTCTACTTTATCTCCCCCCACTGATTCCCTCTACAAATAATAGTACGTTCCATTTTCTCTCTCTCTCTCTGTACTTTTATTGTGCTAAAGTCCGGTATTTCTCTCGCGGTGGTTTTGAGGTAAACGATCGGTTCATTTCATTTTTGGATTTTCTGAAGTGAGTTTTGTATGTGATTCGTCTTTGTAAGTTTTATAATTTAGCTTTTGTTACATCTTTTTGGGTTATGATTTTCCCTGTTGCTTTTGTTCCTATGCGTTTTAACCTGTGAGTTTTTTTTTAGTGCAAATTCTTTGATGTGTTCGTGTTTTTTGTTGAGTTCATTTGGTGATCAAATCGTCCTTGTAGTTTTACTTACGTGATGAGGTTGTCTTTTTTACGTTATTTTGGCCTTGAAAATGGGTTTTTAATACAACTGTGCTGCGGTTTCGTAATTTCTGTTCTAACTACAAATTGTCATACTCTTAAGTAGTACAAGGCTGTCAAACTAGTCCCTTAGTGCTCAGCAATAATTTGATAAGTGGTTTTTTTTTGTTGTTTCCTTACTTCTGCTTATCATTATTTTCATGTTTAACCTTATTGTGGTGTAGGACTGGATGGTCTATACCTTTGATTTGTCTGTGTTCTTAGCCGATGGAAATGTATAATTGATTAAGTGGCTTTTCATGGAACACCTATGTATAACACTTTTGTTTAGTTGTCATAAGTCTGCCTTCGCTGTCCTTGCTTGTTTACTAACATGGCTGTAATGAATCTTTTGTATCCATGGAGAATGCCAACTCTTCTCTATTAAAAGAGTATCCAGTATTTGTACCTGCATAGAGAATGCAACTCTTCTCTATTAGAACCTATGTTGTGCGGACTCTCGAAAATACTGCCGAACCCGTGTCGGATTCTCCAAAAATACACTGCTTTTAGAGAATCCGACACGCACCCGGCGATATTTTCGGAGAGTCCGAGCAACATAGATTAGAACATGATTGAAATTTGTAATAGTTATTGTTGTCATTGCTGTAGTTTCTAACATGGTGCGAAAGAAGAGAACTGACCTTCCTGGTGGCGGTGAGCGCTCTGAGTCTCAAGAATCTGGAGGGGGACGAGGTGGTGCTCAACGCCAACTACAACAGCAGCAGCAAGGCAGCTCTCAAGGTGGAGGAAGAGGCTGGGGACTTCATCGTGGAGGATATCGTGGCCATGGCGGGGAAGCACCGCGTGGTGGAATGGCCCCTCAACAGTCCTATGGAGGACAACATCCTGAATTCTATCAGCAGGGCAGGGGAACTCAGCAGTATCAACCTGGTGGAGGTCCACCTCAACACCGTAGTGGCATAGCTGGTCCCAGCATACCTTCTAGGCCACCAGTTCCCGAGCAGCACCAAGCAACCCAGACTGTGCATCAAGCTGCAATGACTACTCAGCCCATGCCATATGGAAGACCTGCAGAAACTTATTCAGATGCTGGTTCCTCAGCTCAGCGACCTCAGCTGACAATATCTCAAGCGACACAGCAATTACAACAACTTGCTGTGCAGCCAGAAGTGGCTGCACCCCTAGCAATACAACCTGCATCAAGCAAGTCGATGAGGTTTCCACTTCGACCAGGAAGGGGCAGTACAGGTATCAGATGTACTGTGAAGGCCAACCACTTCTTTGTGGAGTTGCCTGACAAAGACCTACACCAATATGATGTGAGTGCTCAAACCTTGTGAGTTGTTTTTTAAAATGTTCCTTTATATTCTCTTGCGGCGGTCTTATTTTAACAATTTGTTACCATTTTTCAGGTTTCTATTACACCTGATGTCTCCTCCAGAGTTCTTAATCGCACTGTCATGGAGCAGCTGGTGAAACTTTACCGGGAATCTCATCTGGGAAAGAGGCTTCCGGCCTATGATGGAAGAAAAAGTCTTTACACTGCAGGGCCCCTCCCTTTTGTCCAAAAGGACTTCAAAATCACTCTTAGTGATGATGATGATGGGCCTAGTGGTGCCAAGTAAGTCCCTCTTGTTATATAAAAAAATTATAACAAATTTTTAGCATCTCTTGATGGGTACTTTTTTATTTTTTGTCGAGGCAGGAGGATAAGGGAGTTCAAAGTTGTGATCAAGCTGGCATCACGCGCTGATCTCCGTCACTTAGGGATGTTCTTACAAGGTAGACAGGCTGATGCACCACAAGAAGCTCTGCAGGTTTTGGATATTGTTCTGCGTGAGTTGCCAACAGCAAGGTATGGTTCTCGGCTAGCATGGCATTGTGAATGTTATTCTTTTCATTATAACGATCACTATTGGGTGGTAAAAATCACTCTTAAATACCTTTAGAGTTGCTTTTTAAAATATTTTCCTTATTTTGTGGTTGATTGCAGGTACTCTCCTGTGGCCCGTTCTTTTTATTCGCCTGATTTAGGACGAAGGCAACCATTGGGTGAAGGTTTAGAATGTTGGCGTGGTTTTTATCAAAGTATTCGCCCTACGCAGATGGGGTTATCACTGAATATTGGTGAGCACATTTTGAGACTTTATTGAACTCTGGTTTTGTAGCTTGATTATGTTGAACTTGTAGAGCAGAGAAAGGTACTTGAGACAATCATATTAACTTTTACCATGTTGGTCATGAGCACACATATTTCTCATCAGTGTGAATTATCATCTTGAGCAGATATGTCATCCACAGCATTCATTGAGCCATTGCCTGTCATCGATTTTGTTACCCAGCTTCTAAATCGTGATGTGTCATCAAGAGCATTATCCGATTCTGATCGAGTAAAGGTTAGCCTTGATTTATGTCAAATCAGATTCCTAGTTTGTCTTCTGGTTTAGCTGGTAGCTATCTGCTAACTTGCATCTAGTCCTCGCCATTGTTTTAGGCAGTTGACTTCAAAATTTCACCCTTTATGCATCTCACTTGTTTATTCAACACACTTCCCTGTACCTTCCCTTTCCCCTCTAAGTTTCCTGTCTTTTTTGAGAGAAGTTGGCTGGAAATCTTCATACTATATTGAATTATTTTAATGAATCTGAATAAATTTTAATAAAAGAATAGTATGAGCCTTGATATGTCTAATTTTGTGTTCCTTTGTTTTCATTTTTTCAGAAACATTCTTTTCATTACAGAATCTGTAATATACGGCTATATGTTGGGCTGAGAAGGCCATTGTTTATATTTTGCACACTGCTTGTCTGATTTCATTTTTACGTTTAATGAACTGTAGATCAAGAAAGCGCTAAGAGGTGTAAGGGTGGAGGTTACTCATCGTGGGAATATGCGGAGGAAATATCGCATTTCTGGTTTAACATCTCAAGCAACAAGGGAGTTGATGTATGTATTCGGTTTTTTCCTATATAAAAAAGTATTTGGATTCGATTCTAATCGTGAGGTAACTGTTGTCTTACTTGAGAATGTCCCTAAGCGATGATCCTTGATCGTTCTATTTCTTTTTCTTTTCTCTTTTGGGTAGTTTTCCTGTTGATGATAGGGGTACAGTGAAATCTGTTGTGGAATATTTTCGAGAAACATATGGGTTTGTCATTCAGCATACCCAGTGGCCTTGTCTACAAGTTGGAAATCAGCAGCGGCCAAATTATTTGCCAATGGAAGTCAGTGCTTTTTTACATTGTTATAGTCTTCTTTCATTATCTTATGAATTTTACCTTATTGATTTTTTTTATTGAATTATGTATGCTTACATGTGGTGCTCCAGGTCTGCAAGATTGTTGAGGGACAGAGATACTCGAAGCGCTTGAATGAGAGGCAGATCACTGCACTCCTGAAAGTAACCTGTCAGCGTCCCCAACAGAGGGAGCAGGATATTATGCAGGTTGGATATCGGCTGCTTAAACTATTCTGAATGCTTTGTTCCATAATACGGATATTTATTGCTGTCCTTGCTGATTTATGCTTGTAATCTGTCAGTAGCTATCTGAACCTTGAAATGAATGTTCTTAGTGATATTACTTTGTTCCTTCTTTTTTTCTGATAAGGTAAAAGTTCTGGTAATAAAGGTACTAAGAAATACAGCCAAACAAGAATACAACATACCCTGTGAAATCCCACAAGTGGGGGTCTGGGGAGGGTAGTGTGTACACAGCCTTACCCCCCCCCCCCCCCCCCTACCTTTGTGAAGGTAGCGAGCTGTTTCCAATAGACCCTCAAAACAAGACAGCCCCTACAAAAGTCTCTAGTTACATATTACTTTGTTCCTTAAGTTGGGTACTTTGTTGCTTAAGTTGGTTACTTTTCCCACACAATGCTTATGGTAATTATTGTTGGATAATGTCCATTTTGATATAGGTTTATCCATCATTGGGAGTAAAACAAGTATGTTACTGGTCACAGGGTTTTCATGGTGTTTCAAGTTGGTAAACTTACTGGCAGAGAGAAGGGGAAGGGACTGAGAGTGAGGATTCATTTACTGCGTATTTAACTTTCATGGGCTGTAGTTATGCAGTTGTAGAATTTATTTCGTAGTGCAGGGGTGATTGTCATACAAATAATATGGTCGTATGACGCCCAAGATTTGTAGAGTTTGTCCGGACACATTGTTACCATGAATAGAAACTGTATCATTACACTGATAAAATATAACTGTTCTGCTTTTGCATTAGTCATTGTCGGAGGTATTATTGTGCATCATCCTGCAATTCTACCTCTTATTTATTGGAGCACTATTGGTGTTTGTTTGTTATAAACAATGTTGATAACGTATATGGTGAGATACTTTTAGGTGATTAGGCATCTTGGTTCGTATTTTGACTGAAGAAAGACTTTATTGTCTGGATCTGTTGTAACTCTTGATACTAGCTATCTAGTCAAGACATTTGTTGATACTGCTTCCCTAAGTGAACTTCGAAAATTGCATGGGTTTGCTGGTGATAGGCCATTCTCTTTATGCAATTATAGTCAGATCGCTGTCTTTTGCATAATACATAAGCTATAAATTTACCTTTATTCTCCTTTCTACTGTCAGACTGCTTCATTAATAAGATGAGCATGTTTTGACATAATTTTTGAAGTATAAATTCACCTTAAATTTTCTCTTTTCTTTTGTCAGACTGTTCGTCATAACGCTTATGCTGATGATCCGTATGCAAAGGAGTTTGGTATCAAGATTAGTGAGAGGCTGGCTCAAGTTGAGGCTCGTATTTTGCCTGCACCTTGGGTATGTTGGAGCTTCTCTTCTGTAGTTGGATTTTTGGGATCTGATTTCAGGGAGATGGTATCCCCGCTCGTCCTGGTGTTTGAAAGGCTACAGTTAATGTGTGCAGCGAATAAAAGTTTATTGTTGGTAGGTTATGTAATCATTTGTTATTTCTGTAGCTAAAATACCATGACACGGGTCGCGAAAAGGACTGTTTACCTCAAGTGGGCGAGTGGAATATGAAGAATAAGGTAAAAGCTGTGTTTTGCTCCCTTGAGATTTCTGTCATCAGATGATATCATTCCTGTACAGTTAAATGGAATTGCTTAGTGTTTGATCTCACTTGATTGTGTGTTAATGGTTTGCGTACCAATTCTAATTCGCTAGTCATTGTGGATGTGTCACTTTTTCTGGCCTTTGCCTTGTTTATTTTCTTTTGCTGCATTTGTTTCTTAGCTTAAGGCTCCTTAAGTCTGTACAGCTTTACTTATCCATATATTGTAAATGTAAGTATCCTTGAATCTTCATAGTCATAATCAGATAGAAACCATCTTGGCCATTGGCGGTTAAAACGTTGTTTGATTTGTTTTTAGAATCTATAACTATATGACATAATTTTCCATGAACCTTCAGAATCATAATTGCTAAAGATGGATTTGGTGGTTAGAAAGTTGTTTGATGTGTCAGGTATCTGTACCTATCTATTGTACCTAGACTAACCTTTGGAGGATAGATGCCTGCAACTTCACCTTGGATTGGTGGATCATGATCTTCTCTTCTGTTTCTGTCTTAATTACAATTCTGATTGTGTTCTCATTTTCTCCTTTACCTATTGCAATAAATTCCCGGACACGGCTTTCTTTTTGCTTTTATCTTGACCTCTAGCATGCTTTGGGTGAGTTTGATATCTAATATGGCTGTGAGAGAGAAATTAGGACACTGCTAGATGCTTTAAACATTTCCGTTTTACTTTTACAATTGACAGAAAGTGGTGAATGGAGGAACTGTTAGCAATTGGATCTGCATAAACTTTTCCCGCAATGTACAAGACAGTGTTGCACATGGGTTTTGTTCCGAGCTTGCACAGATGTGCACTATCTCTGGCATGGTAATTTGGAATTCCAGTTTCTTGTTTCCCTTTTATATGTTTCTTTTGTGGTCTTGCAACTCAACAGTTTTTATTTCTGCTTGTCTTTGCAGAACTTCAATCCAAATCCTGTTATGCCACCATTTAGTGCACGCCCGGATCAGGTAGAGAGAGTCTTGAAAACTCGATTTCATGATGCTATGGCGAAGTTGCAGCCCCATGGGAGGGAGCTTGATCTTTTGATTGCTATCTTGCCTGATAATAATGGCTCTCTTTATGGTATAAGCCAATAATTATGTTCATCTTTCCTTCTTTAGTAAAAGCGTCAATATGGTAACACTGAGATTATCAATTTCTTTTCCAGGTGAATTGAAGCGGATTTGTGAGACTGATCTTGGAATTGTTTCGCAATGCTGCTTGACAAAGCATTTATTTAAGATGAGCAAGCAGCAGTATCTAGCCAATGTAGCCCTTAAGATAAATGTGAAGGTTGGGGGGAGAAACACTGTTCTTGTTGATGCACTATCTAGGCGAATACCTCTTGTTAGCGACCGGCCTACTATAATTTTTGGTGCAGATGTCACCCATCCCCACCCTGGGGAGGATTCCAGTCCATCTATTGCTGCGGTAGGACAGTAGAGCACTTTGTTATTTCTACTAGCACTTCGTTATTTGTACCATTTAGCCAGAATGTGCCAACTTCTCATGTCTTTTCAGGTAGTTGCTTCTCAAGATTGGCCTGAGATTACAAAGTACGTTGGTTTGGTTTCTGCTCAGGCCCACAGGCAAGAGCTCATACAAGACCTGTACAAGACCTGGCAAGATCCTGTTAGAGGGACTGTGACTGGTGGTATGGTCAGGTATGCTGCCTTTTTTGCTCCCTCATTTCTTAGAATGTTCCTAATATTTTAAGCTTTTATCTGCTGATCTTCATTTGGCTTCAGTGGTTGGTTTAACTTGTCTTATTTATTATCCAGGGAATTGCTTATATCCTTCCATAAAGCTACTGGACAAAAGCCTCAGAGAATCATTTTCTACAGGTACCTGAAATAACGCCGTTATACCCACATTTCACAGGTTCCTTCTACTCATTTTTTTTTTTTTGCCAAAAATGAATGGTATTTCCCCCAGGGACGGTGTTAGTGAAGGACAGTTTTACCAAGTACTACTTTATGAACTTGATGCGATCCGCAAGGTTTGTGCCTTTCTCTTGAATTTTCACTCTGCGTATAAATATTTAGGCTTGTCATCCCAGAATTTCTTTTTGTCCTTTGGACGATGGAGAAGGATATAAAACAATATCCCTTTTCATTTGTTGAAAATGATAAACCCACATGAATTGAATCATGATCTGCATCTTTAACCTTCTATTTCTCACAAAAAAAAAAAAAATATTTTTAACCTAATTATCAGCGCCTGTTAGATTTCATGTGGTTTTCTCAATTTAATTCTTCTATTTGTTTGGACAATAGGAAAGGATCTAGAACTGCTTTCCTTTCTATATTTTTGTTTGTTATATATGAGGAATTGACATTACACCCAATTTAGGCATGTGCTTCCTTGGAACCTAATTACCAGCCCCCAGTTACATTTGTTGTGGTTCAGAAACGTCATCACACAAGGTTATTTGCCAATAACCACCGTGACCGAAACACAGTTGACAGGAGTGGGAACATTCTTCCCGGTAAGTATTGGTCCAACAAACATCTTACACTTCAAGCATTCTATTGAATGCTCTTTCAGCCTTATCTTCATAGTGTAATTGTGCAGGTACTGTTGTAGATTCGAAAATCTGCCACCCTACAGAGTTTGATTTTTATCTTTGTAGCCATGCCGGCATACAGGTAAAAGATTTTATAATAGTGGTCATGTAGAAAAAGATTCAATTGTAGTACAGTGATTTTTGTGATGCTGCAGGGTACCAGCCGTCCAGCTCATTACCATGTGTTATGGGACGAGAACAATTTTACAGCTGATGCTCTGCAGTCATTGACCAACAATCTTTGCTATACGTAAGTGGATTCTTAGCTGCCACCTTTCTAGACTTCTCCTGGTACTCATTTTGATCGGTTTTAATCTGTCCTCAAATTTGCAGATATGCCAGGTGCACACGCTCTGTCTCCATTGGTATGTCCCCTACACTTCAGCATTTAGTTTGTCCTAGTCTGCCTCTCCTGTTTTTTTGGTGCTCCAGCATCATTTAGCTTGTTTCATAACAGTATTTTCTCCAAATGCAATCTTTTCTCCGAATGCAATCTTTTGATGCTCTTTGCAGTTCCACCAGCCTATTATGCACATTTGGCAGCTTTCCGTGCTCGCTTTTACTTGGAGCCAGAGACATCTGATGGTGGATCAGTGACAAGCGGAGCTGTTGCTGGCAGAGGAGGAGGTGTCGGGGCTGCAGGAAGGGGTACACGAGCGCCAGGTACTGGAGCTGTTGTAAAACCCCTTCCTTCCCTCAAGGAGAACGTCAAGAGGGTCATGTTCTATTGTTAGAGGACTCTTCAACAGTCTGAGACATCTGATGGTGGATCAGTGACAAGCGGAGCTGCTGCTGGCAGAGGAGGAGGTGTCGGAGCTGCAGGAAGGGGTACACGAGCGACAGGTACTGGTGCTGCTGTAAAACCCCTTCCTGCCGTCAAGGAGAACGTCGAGAGGGTCATGTTCTATTGTTAGAGGACTCTTCAACAGTCTGATAGAATTGGGTTGATATGAACTTTGTTAGGAATCATGCTTGACTCCGGCTATTATGGTACTTTGGTATGTCTTATGTTTAGTTTTGTTTCTAAAACTTGAAAACTGAAGCCAGCTTCGCTTGCCTTTAACGTTTTGATAGTGTGGGCATGACTTGTTTGATTTGGTTCATTACTTTTATTTGCTATAATATATGCGCTGTGTGATTTGATAAGTCATTTATGATTGGTATCCAGTAATCAGACGGTGGTTCTCGAGTACAAGGCAGAATATAAATCTGCCTATTCATCAAATTAAAGGTTGTTCTCAAAGTAGTTTAAAAGTATATGCGTGTATTCTTAACTAGCCTTGCTTACAATTCAAATGCAAGTTTCACTCCAAGCATTTTCAGTTGGGGTATGTAGCACCAAACAACTATTTATGTCAAAATTTTAAGATCTCAGAAGTATCGGCCATGAGTGTGAGGATTTTGTTGTGGTTCCAGGGATTCCTGCCTTAAATTGAAGAAGCGTGTGTTGTTTTGATCGTCATGCTTTCAAAGGCTACTCTCTTCGGTTTCAAATATTGATTGTTTTATGGTTAATTGGTTTATTTAAAATATTCGACATGTTAGAAAAATAAGAAGTCATTTAGTACTTTTTTAATTACTAGATTTTTTGCACGTGTATCCATATCAATTACTACAAATTTTATTAACGTTTTATTAAAATCTGTGCGATACGAAATTTTAAAAAAAAAAATATAAAATAATATAAGCTCAAATTGATTAATGGAGAACTTATTCGACCCGTTTAATAAAAAAAATAATACAACAACTAATTCAGCGTAGACTTTAAACTAGTAATATGACTTTTTAAAAAAGAAGAATATAAGCTCAAGTTGATCAATGCGACCTAATTCGACATATATGATCTATGAAAAAAAAAAGGACTAACGTTTCAGTTCAATTATGAGAAAGAGAACTGTTTACCTTAAAACATTATGAATACTTAGGTATATTATTTGTTGAAATTTTGTCACGACTTAAAATCTCTCCTCAAGAGTCGTGATGGCACCTAGTCCCTAGGAATAGGTAAGTCTAACACAGAGAGTTATTTAACAGATTTATACGAATCAACCATTTAACATGAACCAGAAATTTTTATACAAAGCCAACAACCATCAATAGATGTACAATATCCCAAATCCGGTAGAACAAGTCATAAGCTCTACTGAGCTAGCTAGAAAATATCTAGATACAACTGTTCCAGAATAGAATTATGCAGTACAAAGTAAAATTTTAGAAGGTGACTCCGAGCCCTGCGAACGCGACGGCAGGTATACCTTGAAGTCTCCGCTGCAACTCACAATCAGCTAGCTAATGACCAGTGCGCTCCGAAGTACCTGGATCTGCACAAAAATATGCAGAAAGCGTAGCATGAGTACACCACAGCGATACCAGTAAGTATCAAGACTAACCTCGGTGGAGTAGTGACGAGGAACAGTCAGACACCTACTAGACATAATAACCTATACAAGTACGAATATGAAATTAACAACGAACGATATCGATATAAAGTTAAGCATGGTAAGAATAACAAAATAATAACTTGTAATAAAAAACTAGAAGCAACAATTAACAACCAGGAACAACAGGTAATAACGCCTTAAAGTAAGCATGATACAGTTAAAGTTCAATGAAACCAAGTAAGGAAAAACATGTAACAACCCAATAGAACAACCGCCCTCACACAAGGTTTATACAAGAATTTTCCGAAGGTACCACACCTCATAATCACAATCATGGGTCCCAAATCACGAACCCTAATCACTTGGCATCTTGTGCCCACATTACAAATCACATCCGCACGGACAACTCACATGCTGCACAGACAACTCACGTGCCAATACCACTAATACCTCATATCTGCATGGACAAGTCACATGCTAAGAGAGTGACACTATCTCATATCCGCATGGACAACTCATGTGCTAGTAGTAACAATACCTCATAGCCGTACAAATAATTCACGTGTTAATAGTAGAAATATCTCATATCCGCACGAACAACTCATGTGCCAATAGTACAACTCACGCACAAAAGGCAGGCATACAAGAATGCATGTAAATGATCAATGAACATCAAGGTTCATCTTCTTAGACGGATATGAGTGACTAATTACGGTGTATGCTCGTGCAAGTGTTCTATCACATCTCGAGTCAACAAGTAAGATCAGAGACAACGAATGGCACATAGGAAGCAACACAACAAAACCTCAATATGCATGATTCACACAAGGTAGGCACACCACTATACAAATATCATCAATGACAATGCCCCCAGGCCATCTCAGATAATTACAAATCATCCCCGACATAGCCCTCCTTGTTTCGTCGTGTGCGAAACAATGAAGTAAATGCCCGCCTTGTCTCACCACACGCGCATAATAATATTTCCACCTTGTCTCGCCACATGCACAAACCCACATATATAGCCTGCCTTGTCATGCCGCATGTACAAATATCAATAATAACAATATCACGGACAACTCACGTGCAAACAACATGCGAACACCCCAAAAATCCTCTCAACAATACCACGTGTGCCAAAAACATAAGACAATATAACAACTCGCACCACATGTACCTATATGCCACCACATTTCCGTAAAAATAATTTCAATACCACAGCCTCACATAGCCCTCGGCTCGACAAAACCAAGTACAATAACAACAACAATAACCCGAAAGTACGACAAGTAAATCAACAAAAAAATTACAAAAGCATAATGAACGGAAGAACGAGCTCACAATGAAATACATAACAAGTAATAATGGCTTCAAATAAGAATAATTCAACAATAGGAGAGATAACATGTAACAATAATTTCAAAGAAGAATAACTCAACAATAAGAGACATAATGTGTAAATTTGATAGTGGTGATTTTACCATTTATTCTAGTCTCTTTTCTTTAGTTTTTGTGTCTTTTAATTATAAAATGAGGTTATTTATGGTGTGCATTGCTAGATTTTTAGGTAAATGATGCCATGAAAAGATTTGAATTCAATTGAAGTGGAATTGAGCAAAAAGAGTAACAAAAGTGCAAAATCCTTCAGTGATTCTGCACCTGCGGAACATTGTACGCATCTGCGATATTGCATCTGCGGAAAGGAGTCATATGCGCTGGGACCGCATCTGAGGTTAGTAATCCGCATATGCGGAGTCGCTTCTGTGATGACAAGTTCCACATCTGCGGAAAAATGCAATCCCCTCAGGTTTCGCATCTGCGAATAGAAGTCCGCTTTTGCGGAACCGCACCTGCGAGGATTATTTCGCAGGTGCGGTCAACGGGCTTCAGCTCTGGGTAATTTTGGCAAATCACATTTTTTCCATTTCAAACCCACAAATACACGACCTAGCCTATTGGAAACACATCTTTGGCATCTTTGGGCAGCCTATACACATCTTGAGAAGAGAACACAAGTTTTGGAGCTAGGGTTCTTGCACACACACTTGGGTCTTGAAGATTTGAAGCTTTGGTTGACCGCGGCGTGCAGCCCGATCCCATAACTGTCACTCATAACAAGGCTCTCGGCCTCACTCAATCATCAACCTCTCCAGTCTCACCCATGGGCTCACAATGTCATGAAAACAAACCCGAAACAATGATATGATGAATCAATGAATAACTGAGACTGAGATATAATATAAAAATGCATGAACATGACTGAGTACGAAATATTAATGAAAATAGTGAGATGACAGAAAGAAACAACCACTAAGAGTCCCAACAATACCGGCATAAAGCCTAAACATGATATCTAGCATGATTTACAGTTCAATCGCTTTATCACATGATGAAAACAGGGATATCAACAGGATATAGTCACTAAACGGTGCCATGGAATCGCCCAGGTCATAATTTTCACGGTGCCCGCTTGCACGCCCTTCACTTGGCATGTGCGTCACCTCAATACCAATCACACAACACACATAATTTGGGGATTCGAGCCCTCATAACCAAGTTTAGAAGCGTTACTTACCTCATACCAAGCAAAATCCTACTCCGCGATGCCTTTGCCTCTCCAATCGGCCTCCAAACACCCCGAATCTATCCACAAGCAATACAATACGATCAATATAGGCTAAAGGAATCAATTCCACAAGAAAAATACCAATTTCTAGCCAAAAATCCGAAATCGGCTCAAACCCGGCCCCCGGGTCCATATCTCGAAATCCGACAAAAGTCGCAAACCCGAAAGCCCATTCACTCACGAGTCTAACTATACCAAATTTACTCAAATCCGACAACAAAATCCCATTCAAAACCTCAAAATTCTATCTCAAGAACACTTCCACTTTTCCCCAATTTTTCACCCCAAATCAAAAATTAGATGATAAAATCAAAGATATAATCATGGGATTTAACCAAAACCAAGGGAGAAACACTTATCCCAATCAATTCCGCGAAAATCCCTTCAAAAATCTCCAAAATACGTGATCTCTAGTTCAAAATATAAAAAATGAGATCAAACCCTTGATTTTGAATTTAACACTGTCTGCCTAAATTTCCTTCTTCGCGAATGCGATCGTCCTCTTGCATTCGCGTAGACCAACTTGACTGCCTCTCCGCTTTACTTCGCAAATGTGACACATGTCTCACGAATGGGATGCTTTACTAGCTCAGACCTTCGTGAATGCGATCGTGACCATCACCTCGCGAACGTGTAAAACAAGGACCTGGGGTCCCCAACTGCCTCACTCCTCTTCGCGAACACGACCCTGCTCCTGCATTCGCGATGCACACGCAGATTACGCATTCGCTTCCTCCCCTTCGCGAACACGAAGAACAAACTCTCACCACTCAGAAAATTTCGGGAATGCGAGGGCCTACTTGCGAACGCGAAAGAGGAAACCAGAAGAATGCAGCAACGGATATCAACAATCTCACCAAGGCCAAAAATGATCCGTTAACCACCTGAAACTCACCCGAGGCCCTCAGGACCTCAACCAAACACACCAACACGTCCCATAACCATACAAACTTATTCGAACCTTCAAATCACGTTAAACAACACCAAAAACACGAATTACACATGGATTCAAGCCTAATGAACTTAGAAATTTCCGAATACAACAAACGACGTTGAAACCTACCAAACCACGTTCGAATGACCTCAAATTTTGCACACAAGTCAGAAATGAGACCACTAACCTACTCCAACTTCCAAAAATCC